AATGTCCAGAACAACCTTTACACAGCTGAATAATGATAATATGTAATCAACTGATTGTGTCCTCCATTAGACCGACTGGCCAGAAGGTCACCAGCTAGCAACTGCCATGAACTTTCGATTTCCTCAATGTGTGCCGACCCACCTGAAGACCCTTATTCCAAATGCCAGCAATGAGGCTATTACTCTGATGAAGGACCTGCTGCACTGGGACCCCAAAAAAAGGCCCACTGCTGCACAGGTAGGCACTGAAAGTCTTACTCTAGGCTTAATTTGCCAAAGTTCTCTTTAACAAAGACCCTTTTTAGCCTGTTGTTTAAAATTAATCTGTAACCTGTTCTCAAAGAAGCAGTTTCCATTGCAGTGCAACACTCATCACTTCATGCAGATTATCTGTATTTCCACTGCAGGGATTTCACTGTTAATCCTACACATTTTAAATAGTCTCTAAGAAATACTTCATTCTCAGTTCTGCTGCAAAACATTTTTCCTCTCTGCATATGTGCATACACATTATGAACATTATATGCCCATCATATTGTTGACTGTAATTTACACTCCAGAGAGAAAGTTAGGCCTAACACCTTTAGAGGGAGTGACAAAGCTTTTCCATTTCTACCTAAACAGCTCCCAGGTGGGTGGTTCTGTTCAGATGCACAGATGCACATCTAATTTTAGCTCATTCAGCTCTTGTCTGATTCAGAAGGTGGAAAACTGTAATTGCTGAATAAAATACACCCTATGGTACACAGGGGTGTTTCTAAAATGCCCTGGGATTTAGATTTGGTGTGCATGTTTGCTGTCTTGTGCATGAAAACCATCCCTGCAAGTTTAAATGACTCAAGTTACACAATGATGTGCTTTATTTTGTTGTTTTTTTAAGTACAGACTGTGTATTATTCTTGTTTCTAGGGATATTCTTTCAGTGTAATTGAATATCCTCAGATTATTCAGAATAATAATCTGTGTTCCTTCCTCTCCTTTGCTAGGCCTTGCGTTATCCTTACTTCCAGGTGGGTCAGGTCTTGGGGCCACGCCCTCAGAGCCAGGAGGTCAAGAAAGTCCAGAACAGGCCGCTTGCTCAAAAACAGGCCTCTGAGTACAAAGTTGAACTGCAGCAGTCTTCCTCTGAGTCTAAAGCCTCCACAACCTCCTCCAGAAACCATCAACAGCCTCTGCAGCAGATCCCCTTACCCCAGGCTGAGAGTAAACCTGGAGGCCTCAGCCATGCAGTGAGTAGCTTTATTAAGTCAGATTAAATAGTTGCAAAAAAAGTTTTTAAAATAAAGTAGTCAGTTTGGATTAAGTGAGTACTCTGAAAGAGCAGAAGTTCTGGTGCAGATGCAGTGGTTGAAAGTAGAACTTAATTCAGCAAGACTCATTGCCCAAACGTGACATTACTATGTTGTGCAGAAGGCGCTGGGCAGTGAGAACAATGCTGGTGGCGTCGGGACGGGTGTGCTGAAGAGCGGTCGCCGTCGCTGGGGCCAGACAGTGGCCAAGACCTCAGACAGCTGGGAGGAATCTGATCGTTCAGAAACATCCGCCTCCAACTCCAAGAAACCCAGCCTGGTGAATACAGAGGAGGAGAAGAGCCCCAAGGACCAATGTCCACAGTAAGCTTAAGAAGAGTGGAAACTTTGCTTGGTGAAACATTTGCTGTGCTATGTGCTGCTATACTATGTGCTTCAGTTTATAAATTACAGTATATATATGTAAATAAATATGCAATATTGAATACATTTCATATTTATCATACATTCCACAACATCCACATTTATATTCAGAACTTACTGTAATGCCTTGTTTTCAGACACCAGGAGCAGAAACCTCTATACTCCTTCAGTACCGTTACCAAGCTACCAAACAATGTAAAGACTGGCCAAATGGACTCTAATCTTCCAGGATCTGCAGCCCGCCAACACTATCTCAGCCAGTCTAGATACTTGCCTGGTAAGACTAATAGGTGGTCTTATCTGTATTGTTTAAAATAGGTCATTGCTTCCCTGGTTACAAATAAATAAATAAAAGTTTTCTTCTTTTTTTTTTTTTTTTATCGTGGTTTGAATTATTATTATAAAATCCAATTGCTTGCATTTTAATCAATTTTGTGAAAATAGCACTTTCTGAGGGCTAAATTTTTAATCTTGTAATTTTGTTGGCTTTAAGGCTTGATCAGCAAGAATCAGACCTCCTCTGGAGAAAAGGAGCTGACTGGCATGACACTGCGGGACCTGTGGGAGAACTCCTCAAACACTGTAAATAAACCACTTGGTCCTATTGGGGGAGGATTATCTGTCACCAGAGCCAATGCAGGTAAAGACTGATGATGTCTAATGCAGCAGTGTTAAGAAGTTTGGCATAGTGCACAGTGGAGGGGACTCAAGTTTCCAGATTTCAGTAACACATTGAAGCAGCCCGACAGCGTGTAGATTTTTTTGTAATGTACGAAGGCAGAAAAATACAAAGCACATACAAAAAATATAATATTCAAGCATTGGGTTTGACAACAGACAACAAACCTGCTCACTCAGTAGATTAAATAATGACTACACCATGACTTGCTCTGGAAACCTGGCGGCTGTCAAATTCACCTTGTGTTACATAATACGACGGTGTCCTCTTTCTTATACTAAGGCTCTAAGTGCTGCTGATGAAGCTAATATCACCTGGTCATTAGTTATGATAAAGAGTTAGTGAGCCTAGGCATGTGCGACTTTGGAGACCTAGGACACCATAAATCAATTGTCATGTAGGCAGGCACACAGTATGCGTCCCTCATCTTCTCTCTCTGCTGCTGTCTCTTCCTGTTACCTCGTCTCTACCTCTCCATTGCTTATTCATGAGATTAAGACTGTAGGTATAAGATCAAGTGTTCCCTAAATTGCCTGCAGCTGTAGACCCCTCCCCCATCCATTCTCCCAGCACTGTTTGTTTTAATGCTGCTCGCCTGTTCTGCATGAAAATGTCTTATTTAGCATGAAAAGTTTTTTTTTCTTTTTTTTTCTTTTGAAAAAGCAAAAATACTTTCAGTTTCCCTTCTTCGCCTTTATTGTTTGTCTTTTCTCCTTTCTCTCTGATCCCATGCATCTCCTCCAACTCTACTTTTTTTGGGCCATGTGATTAGAAGATACTGCTGCAAAGTGTTTGGATAGCCCACCAGACAAAACTGTGGTCAAAGAAACAATACTGCAGAAAATTGATCTCTCCAAAGGTATTTAAGTGAGACTGGGTTTTTTTGTTGTTGTTTTGTTTTGATTAGATTTTTTTTTTTTTTTTGCTGTGTTTCACAGCCTTGTTAGTTATTTGGAGTGCAACCTTTCTGAAGGCGGTATATAGAATAGCTTGAGGATAAAATCAAATAAACCAACAACCAGGGTGGTGGCTGATGCTGTAGCAAGTTTCGGGTATTCAAACAGCCACTTTGCATGTGAAAGAAACTGGCCTCTTAAAGCTCTGCATGAAACTAGGGTGTAAACATGCAGGTTAACATGAGAACGAAGAACTCCAGTTGCTTAACAGAAGATAAATGATACTACAACCACAACATCTTAAGGGAACAATGAAGCTTTTGAGTCATTATGGAGATAAAAATCTCTGACTGGTGGTGGAGAGACTCGATGGTGTTCTTTGAAATGTTGAATGACAATCAATCGACCCTATTCCTCCGCTTGTGCCCCTCGTCGGTATGCGGTGGTTCCAGTATGTCACACGTGTTCACACATATAATTAGTGGTCGTAAAGCCACGTGTGAAAAGATCTGTGTTCAAAAGAACAGTGTGTGTTTTTTAAAAATGTTGCATTTTAGCAAATAAATACATAAACTCAATTGCTGGTTGGACATCTGGGGTGTGCAATAATAAGATATGCAGAAATTTCAGACCTTTGGTTAAATTCTGTATTTATTTTCTTAAAGGGAACTTTGTGAGCACCAAGTACAACCTCTCTGGTGGTTACATCTCTTCATTTCAAAAGAAAGAGGTTGGCTCAGTGGGACAGAGAATCCAGCTTGCCCCCTTGGCTGGCCAGCATGCAAGTAAATAACTCTTATTTTTCTATATAAACCCAACAAAATAACCTGTGAGACTTTTAGCCGGGTACTTTTAATCATTTATGTTGCTCTGAGAGAACAAAAAATCAGCACTCTTTCCCACGTGTCTGAGAGGTTGCTCTGTTTCTCTAATCATAAACATTAATTCTGGTATTATAGTTGAACTATTCTGTTGTATGATCGTCCTGTACTCTTTTCTAATTTCCTCTGTTTAAACCTGCATCACATTTACTGGGAGTATGTTTCCTTTCTTTCTCCCTTTTCTTCACTTTTAGTAAATCTTTCTTCTTCTCCTGATAATATAAAAGAACACCCAAAATCTGCAAAACTCAAGCCCATATCCAACTCATCATTAAAAGAAACTGGTGAAGGTATTGCCATTTTCAAATAGTTGCTGTGGTGTTTTTTTTTTAAAGCATCACCTATAAAGATGCTGGTGATTAAGAGAGACATTTGTTTTCTCTAGAATATGAAGCCTGGAAGAGGAGGACAGACAGCTCTCAGATGAAGGGCAGCAGCTATTCATCAGCACTGGGAAAAAACTCCGGAAACCTCCTGACCAGAGCTCCTGCTGTGCAGCCCGTCCATGGGAGGGTCGACTGGACATCCAAATATGGCGGAAACCGGTAGCTTGGGGGAGCACATGCTACAACTACTACCGCTTGTTAGTCTTTGGCGAGAAATTGAATTGCTGCTTAACTATGCTTAGGCTCAGATATCAAGGTCGAGCACATCCCACGTTCTTTGTTATGTTTATACAAGTAGCACCAAACTGTATGTGCATTGAATCTCTGTGTTCTGGAGATGATGGTTGCCATGATGCCTAACCAGGACCGGTATTGTCCTCAAGACAATCCCACTGCATCCTTCAGATACAGTGGGAGCCAATTTCATTGTCATTGTTTGGATTTTTTCTTCTTTCTTTTTTTAAAGTAGGACTCCAGCACAGCAATTCAACTTTTATTTTTTAACTTTAGATTTATTTTTCTCTAGTTTCATATAACAAAATGTCTTTAATGAATGGTTCCTGTAATGTTATATCCTCTCTGCTTTTATTCAGCATGTAGTAGGTGACACAAAAAATCCCGAGTGTCATAAAAACACAGCAGACTCTGAAAACTGTAAGGGAACTGCAAACCTCTTTGTAATATATCAATGAGTAAGCTGAAATTTTTTTAAACTTTTTTTTAAACAAATAAACAAGTTCAAAGGTGCATTCACTGAAAAAAGACAACTATTTACTATATAAACAAGAGGGTACATTTATTTCATAAATCTACATCTTTTAAACAAAAGGACATGATTCTGGACATAAATGTCAAATGCTGAGAGGGTGCTTCTGAAAAGAGCCACAGGAGCTGATGGGAACTGATATTTCAACATATTAACTTCATCAGGACTGTACAGGTTTCTGGAGCAACGCCAAGCTAAGCTTCCCCACCATCAGAGCACTGAAACAAAAGGATTACATTAGACCTCATTCAAAGAGCCAAAGTATACAGTAAAAAAAAAAAATACAGATTACTGGAAGTGGGGGGGAAATAAAATCCTCTGTAAAATGTGGCTTTCAATGTAGTATATAAATAGAAGTGAGGACAAAATTATTAGTGCCTCGATGATATTAAACGTTTTTGTCATAATAATTTTTTTGTAAATGGAGCAAGGGATTTATTAACATAGCATTTCTAAATATACTAGCCTTCTTTAGAAACCATAAATTATTTCTATTAGCACACAATAACAGAATTATTTCAGAAAAAAATAAAAGTTACCAGGTCAATATTAATGCTCCCCCTGACAACTGACATGTGCAATGACATGCTTTAACTGTGTAATGCTCAAAGACTGGAAAAATATCAAGTTAAAACTGAAGGTTGTCTTTTTATTTACACAGTATAAAAACTTCCAACGGTTTGAGCTGTTACTTGAGAGAGCATCGTACCAAAAAAAAAAAGAAATCAGTTTAAACTTGCAAAAAAGAAAAAAAGTTGTTAATGCTCATACAGTAGGCGACGGACATACAAAGTTATCAAATGTCAAGAACTGGCATGAGAAATCTCATGAAAGAGCCACACAAGGCAGAACAAGCCTGGCAGAGGTAGGAAGCGAACAATTTCAAAGACTCTGGGAAGAAAAGTAGCAAGCTGTATCTAAAGACCCCCAGAACAACTGCTGAGACACAAGTGAATGACTCAAACAAGTCTGAAATTATAGTCTTGAAGAGGACAATCGGTAGAACCCTGGTTTCGGACTAAGAAATATTTATAATAATCAAAATATTATAAACAATAATATAAAAATAGAAATAATAATCGTTTGGCCATGGTAGTTTTTGTTTTTTGTGAAATAATTTTGTTTCTGTGTGCAAAGTAAGTAAAATAATATTCCAAAATCAAACTACGATATTTGGAATAATACTGTCCTCATCTGTGGTACTTGATAGTAAGTAATGGCTGATTGGACTTATACCAGACCTTGCTACAGCCATCAGACCAGCTGGCATGAACTTCCTCGATCCATAAAACCGCTTCCCCATGATACCAGTCAGTGCTCCTGATGCAGCTGGCAGACAACAGGAGACGGAAAAGGTTAGTGAAGGCACTTGCAAAGAAGACATTAGACATTCAGAAACTGTTTACTTACATGCAGAACATACAGCTGCTGTATGCAGTTTAGTATGTGGGTCCACATATTAAACATTTTGAGTGTATTTTTTTTTTGGTCATAAGGCATAATACAGTTATTCAATTAACATTCAAGACTGTGGCTTAAATGGCACATCAGTGTTCAAACTTTACAGCTTTTTCTGACATGACGTTTTTCATAAGCTGAGGAAAGAGGAAGAAAAAAAAGTTTACTAACCTAGTGACACCCAAACATTTTTAGGATCATTTGAGACCTGGTAAGCTCCAAAACCTGCAAAGCCCCCAAACAGAAGCCCAGCAGCTAGGGAGGGAACACTGCCTGACAGAACAAACATACAGGAGGTCAGAACCTAGGAAAATATAAACCAACGAGACAACAGCACCAATAGTAACACTTGCTGTTACAGAAAAATGTGATTATTTAACTTAACTACTTTAGGTAACACATACCTGCTTTCACGTAACCAATGACTCCTCCAGATGCTACAAGCGTGCCGTATCCATATCCTACCCAATCCACAGTCATGTTGGACACCTGTCAGGAACACAGCGTGAAGTTATGCGAGTCAACAAACACATTATTAGCGTTGCACATCGATTATTCAATTAAAACCTCCTCCTGATGTGAATCTAATTTGACCTACTGGTGTAAAAATACTTAAGGAGCTGTCCGAGTCCTGCAACACAGAGCTGTTACTGAGCATTAACGGAACCAACAGAAAAAGTGAAAACATTGTAGGAATGTTCCCGCTGTCACACACCGCAGCCGTAGTTTGTCAGCTTTTGATCAGAAGTTGTTAAAGAAAAAAGGGGCGTGTGTGTGTCTGGCTTAGTAGATAAGCCAGACTGCTTTACTGAGCCTTAGCATAAACTAGCATCACTGCTGCACCACACACTCAGAAGTTACACAATATTGCCGAAACCACTGTTAACAGTCACCCCGTAAACTTCGAAAGTAGATAAAATCTTAAGCCGCACTCTAAAACACTGACACTGTCGACTATGGAAGCTGAATTAAAATAACAATCCGACTTACAACCTTAGTCGTTCAATTTGTCCTCTGTCTGTCACTGACATAAACAGTGTGGTCCGTACCAACTGCAGCTTGTTCTCCACCGAGCACAATTTATTGCTGCACTGTACGTTATACGCTCGCGCGGATGCCGCATGCTTAGGCTTACAGTTCTGAGCAGATCTCTTTATGTTGTGAAACACATACGGCGGCGCTTAATAATAATAATAATAATAATAATAATAATTATTATTATTATTATTATTATTATTATTATTATTATTATTATTTTTTAATCGTTTATGTTGGTGCAAACAAACACGACGGATGACACTTAAAAGCTATTAAACTATTTTCTCTGCGGAATCGCTGACTGACTGATTTATTGTCCTGTACTCTCCATAATAAACCGAGTCCTGCTTACTTAACGTCGTCGTATCATGTAAACCACTGAATGCACTCAATTGAGTAACCCCAACGCCACACGGAGCTGTTTTATGATAATTGACGGCCACTAGATGGCGCCACAGGATTACATTAGGTTGTGTTTCAAGTTCAAACTGCACCCCTCACAACAAGAGCTTTTTTTTCCCCAAATAGGCATGTACTTTGATTTGCATGCATCCGAAAAAAATGGTGTCTTCTGTTGGGTGACTAAAATGATCAAGTTTAAGCTTGACAGACTGATTAAGGTTAATGAAGGTGAACAGGTGAACACAGGCACTCAGCGTATTGCTTGTTAGAAATACATTTGTAATATTTGCAAACGTTTGTATTCCTGACAATTCGTGCAATTTCATGTAGCCTTTCTTTTAAAGCACCTGTGTTTCTGACTGGCATCGGCTCTGTAGATTTACTTCCTGGAATGCTCCCTGCTCACACATTCTCATTTGGTTTCAATTACCTGCGATACTGACTTCAATCCACCAGCCGCGCTTCCTCGCTCTTATCCAAAAGCAAGGTGGCGCTATAACACAAGTTATCTTGTTTAGAGAGCAGCGTTTCTAACGTTGGGCCCGAAACCGTCTCAATTGAAAAATATAAATAGATAAATAAATCACGAATTTTTATGAATATAACCAAGCTTGGAGATCTTTGCCAGTAGGACACATCCAGCAGGAGCTAGAGCGTGGCTGTGGGAAAAGAATATTTGTTGCAAACTCAGCATTTCTACGAAATTATTTACCAACTTCATAACTTCATAACGTTTGGGGGATAGGAAAAAGTGCTCCTGTCTTTGATCAGCCTTTTTTAAAGAAGAAGAAGACGTAGAAGAAGAAGGAGGAAGTCTTTCTGCCATTTCTAGCAATGAGAGAAGGACGCGTAAAATACGCACCAAGATCTGTCTGTGTATTTAGGTACACTTGATAATAACAATAATGATTATAGCAATACTACTACCACTACTACTACTACAACAACTAATAATAATAGTAATAATAATAATGATAATAATAAAATGTACAAGATGCCTAAGGCGCAGTCGTGGCTATCGCCTTTTAAACACAGCTGGCGGTTGGGGAACATTGCCGGAGGCCCGGTGCTGTGTGCTGCTGGTTGAAACTAAGCCCTAGACCGGCTAGATATTCAAAAGGGACCCCGCTGCAGAACAAGAGTAACCTACTCTCAGACAGCTCTGCTTTAAAACTTCACTCCTCCCTTGCGCAGAGCCCCAAACAATATTTCTGATTCCCCCTCCCCACCTTCCTCTCCTTTGTCCAGGCCTGGTAAGGTCTATATAGCTGCAGGTATTGTGTGTGCAGCTAAAATGTGTTCGCCTTTGAAGTCAAACATGAAGGCTCGTTTAAAATATTAACGCCACAAAAATCTATAGTCTCCGTGTGGAATTTTGCAATTTAGAAAAATACAAAAAACAAAAAACAAAAATCGGGTTAAAGCAAAATTAATTGTATTTTTTCTTCCCCCGTTAAAAGTTTGTCCACCAGCACCAGTGTTACACTTAACGCTTATAACACGCTGTCTTTATGTGTGTGATATGATATAGTGAAAGGTAGATCAATGACGCTATCTGCCAGCAAAGTGCCCCCGCGACTGCGTCCATAGCAGCCAGTTTGCCTACGTGTGTGTGTGTATATGTGTGTGATGCGTATTACTTCAAAGAGGAGAAAGGGGTTTTGGACAAAAGATTTGGCCATTGTCACCCACGTCAGCGCACGTGTTGCTCCGCTTTCTGTGTGCGTGTGTGCGCGTTTCTC